ATGATTATATTTCTAAAAATAGAAAGAATAAATTATATAGAACCGATGAAAATAAAAAATATGAACAAATTAAATAGAGGGAGGAATTGTTATTATTTACTTTTATAATACAAAATTAAAATAATATATATATATGACATTTTAATAAAAGGAAAATAAAATTATTTAAAAAATGACAAAAAGAAAAAAACATTTTTCATGACGGTGATGTTTTTCATCCAATAAAAAATTTTTATGTTTATTTTTCCGATTAATATTACTAAAAAAATATATAATATATATACTAATACAAATTATATAATAAATTATATATTTTATTGTTTACAAAAAAATAGTAATAAATCAATACAAAATACTTTCGTCACGAGATCATGCGTTCAAATCCCGGAAGGTTCGATTGGGGGTTTACCCAGTGCGTACTTTTCGATAGTAATTGTGGATTTCCAGTCATAAAAATAATAATGATAATAATAATAATAAAGATGATATTTTTTATTTAAACACAAAAATTTAAGTAATATATATTAATTATTTAAACAATAAAGACTAGTTATTTAATTATTGTGGGTATAGAAATATATTATATATGATTAAAAAGTTTTAGTGTGTTTGAATATTAACAATATATCTTAATAAAATATGTATATATTATTTAATTTTCTTATATAATTCAAATAAAAAATATATTTATTTATTTATTTATTATTACTATAAATTAGTTTTATTAAAAAAAATATGAATTTTTAAAAATAGTTAAAAATATTTGTTAATTAAAAAGAAAATTAGAAAAAAAAAGAAATTTTGGGTTAATGTTAAGTAGATTTAAAATATAATTAAATTTATTTATATTTGTTAAGTTTGTCTAAAATTGATAAATTTATCAAAAATATAACTGAATCATCTTTTGTAGAACAGATAAAAAAATAAATATTGATCATTTGTAGCGGGACAAAGAGAATATTAGTTTTTATATTATCAATACGCTTTCTCGTATTTAATATCAAAGACGGATCTAAGAATTTATTTTTTTTATTAGTGTCACAATATACTTATAATTATATTATTATTATTTTGTATTAATTATTGACTTTTATGAGCTGATAATATATATTATATTAATATGTATATTTATTTATAGTTTTTTAATAATATTAATGATAAATTGTTCTATTAAAAAATATTGAATAAACAGAGTAAATTGTGTTGACTTTAATATATATATTAATTATAATTGTGAGCTTGGATTAATTTCCTCATATATTTTGCTAAATGAATATTTCGTAATTATGTTATTATATTCCCCACTGAGAAATAAATGAAAATGAAATGAGATAGTAATTAATTTAATTTAAATTAGCCATATAGCTAATAAAAGCCAATTGAGTGTGGAGTCATCTAGCCAGTCCAGTTGCTGTCTATTGCCATTAATAGCTAAATCTAGTGCGAGAAACAAATTTACACACAAAACTTATTTTAAAAAATACTTTTAATTTTTATTTAAATAAAAATATACTATTACAATTACAATTATTTTATATATAAATTCAAATGTCAAAAATATCAAAATACTATATTATTTATTAATTTATTATAAAATCTCAAAAAGTTCCTTCCATTATAAACAAATGAAGTGTTATTTATTTTTTAAAAATAATATATCAAATTAAAATATTATTTAAATAAAAATTCAAATCAGACTCTTATACACGTCAAATCAATTTAAGCCCATAATCAAATAATTATGTAATTGAATATTTTGAATTATTTGAATCATAAATGCCCTCGAATGTATATTTATTTATATTAATTTATATATTGGGTGCAAAATAGTCTTACAAATAAAAAAAAAAAAAATAAAAAATACCACATATTACTATTAACATACAATATTCGTTAGATTATGTGTATTTAACGAGTGGCCGTAAACAGACAAAAGGAGTATAATTTGTGATTCGATGAAAAGAAGTGTGAAAATACGAACACACCTTGTGTTTACCATTAAAGGATAAATATAAAATCGTACAAACTCCAAACAAATATTAGGTATTTACACCATTAGGAAATACCAATTGGTTTTCTTCTATGTTTTATACACTCCAATCCACAATTTATATATCAATTTTTATCATTTTAGACTTGCAATAAACAAATTTTAATTTAGTAAATGTAATTTTAAAAACAATATATTATTATTACGTTTGAAATTTATAATTAGGTTAAAGGATCCAAGTTAGATGAAGATGTAGGCCTATAATGGAGTCTGTTAGACTAATTAAGGAGTATTTCAAGATAATTGGGTGAACTAGACGTATTTCTAAGGAAATAGGTGGGTCGGATGGTCCACAGATCAGATAGTCTGCAGGTCGGATGGTCCGTAGGTCGGATGGTCCACAGGTCGGATAGTCTCCAGGTCGGATGGTCCGCAGGTCGGATGGTCCGCAGGTCAGATAGTCCGCAAGTCGGATGGTCCGCAGGTCGGAATGTCCGCAAGTCGGGCGGCAAACAAGTCGGTTGGTTTGTGGTCGGACCAACAAGTTGGAAGGTTTGCGGTTGGACCAACAAGTCGGAAGGTCTGTGGTCGGACCAACAAGTCGGAAGGTCTGCGCTCGGATAGGTAAGTTGGAAGGTCTGCGGTCGGACCAACAAGTCGGTTGGTTTACGGTCGGATTGACAAGTCGGTTGTTGTGGAGGTCGGATGTTGCGGAGAGCAAGTGAGAGTAGTAGCCTGGTTGGTTGAGAACACGTGTCAGTAAAAGAGAAATTGGCAGACGGTTGAAAGGAGGCGTTGTAATCGTTCGTGCGACGGTTCCAAATACCGTTTCTGAAAAATATTCAAGGATTGAGATCTGCAACTCACAGGTATCTTCAATCATCTTCAAACGACAGCAAAGTCAGTTATTCAGGGATCATCCTTTAATTTTCAGTCTTTTAATTTCCAGTTTATTTTTGTACCGTACAATGTACAGTGTTTAGAGTAATCTCAAGCACTAATTATATCAAATTCGAAGATAATTTCTTATTTTTGAATTTTTTACTTTTTTATTGTTGAAAAAATACATCAACAATTATAAAATGTAATTTTTACTTAAAATCAACAGCATATACATCATTATTTTATTTTGTAATCTATGATGTAAATTTCAAATTATTTTAGTTAACAAATACATATCTAGTATTGAAATAATTTTTGTGGTATGGCATCGACAATTATATAAAAAGTATAAAATATTTTATTTCGATTGAATATTTGATTTTTTTATAATGAGTATTTTAACTTTTTATATTTTATATTTTTTAAATTATAAAAATAATGTTAGAAAAAACATACCCATAAACAATGACAATAACCGAAGATAATACTCCCTCATCCTAATTGAGAGATATCTACTTCGATATTTTTTTTTTTTTTCTAAACAAAAAATATTTATGTATATTTTCAATAAAACCTATATAGATTTGATTGTTGTTTAAAATTAATTTAAAATAAAAAATTAATTTAAATTTGAGACAGGCGGATCATCCGAATGCGATTGATAAAATAATCTATTCTTATAAATAAAAACTCATACTTTTTAAATTTATATTTATTTATATTAATAATATTATATTAAATGTATTTCCTCGGTCACTTAACAATAGATTTATTTTTCTATTTTGGTAAATTTATCTATTATAATTGTACTTTCTACTAACATTAAAAATATTACTCCATCCGTCCCGGTGCAAGGTTGCCGTTTATTTTTTGAACGTAAATTTTTTAATATTAGTATTATAATGAGTTGTAATAAAAAAGACGAAAATACCCCTATTCGTATTGTGTAATATAAAAGTAATGTCATTTGTGTAATAGTGTAAGTTGGAAGGATATTTATTATGTTAGATAGGTAGTACAATTACTAAATTAGAAAATTGTAACTTCGTTTTAGGACGGACAAAAATGAAAATTGACAACCTTTCAATGGGACGGAGAAAATATTACAATTAATAATATATTATACAAATGTTATTATTTTTATATTACACATTAAGATTATTTTAGTGTTTTCTCTTTTATTCATATCATATTACAGTATAATATAATACTAATATTTATAAAACTCTGTACAAAAAACAAACGAATACATAAATAAGGAACTGGTGAGTAATACATAAAAGTAAATATTACTCCTTCCGTCCCATAACTATAGTTTGAGTTGTGTTTGACACGATATTTAAGAAATATTGATGTTATATTGGTAGTGGGTAAAAGTACGGATAAAAGATTTTTTTGCCCTTATAAGTGTATGTAATGACAATTGTGTAATAATAATGAAAAAGTAATGATAGTTTTACAGTGATATGATTATTTATGAAAATAATATTATTGTTTTAGAATGAATAAAAATGATAAATATGATTATTGTATTGAAAGAGAGAGCATTAAAAAATGTATAAACGAGTATCTATATCAAACAAAAAAAAACAAATATATTATTTTTATATTATATTTTTAAAATTATATACTAATTTTTATATGAAATAATTATCATAATTATTTAAAATTAAAAATTATATATACTTCCTCCGTCCCATAAGATGAATAATATTTTTTATTTTTGTTCATAAAAAAAAAAATATTTTCTAATTTAGTAGTTTATTATTTATATAATTAATATCCTTACAATTTTTAATATATTAAATATTTTTTTTTTTTTTTCTACCGTAAACTAATACAATACAAATATTAAAAAATATAGGAGTGGAGGAAATATATATATATATCTATAATCCAATTCAGCCGCTTTATTGCTGGCATTGAGACACAGATATACATACACACGATATCCAACACGTTTTTAAGACAAACCCAGCAGAATATATCCCTCCACAGATACACATACACACACAGAGAGATATATACATATACATACAATTACATACAATCGTTGAAACCTCATGGGTGACAATAACAACTACCAATACGTACGTGACAAGAGGGAAGGTTGTAGTAATTCAATAAAAAGGGTAGATACAACAATACATACATACATACGTATAGACTGAAATAAAGTAAGCCATAAGAGAGTTTTTTATAAGGAAAAAGGCCATTGTTAAATTGGAGAAGACGCAGAGATAGAGAGAGAAAAGATATATACACACATATACATATATATGTATAAATAGAAAGAGTTTGAGAAAACCAATCCCTCAACTATATATCACTTGATTGGGCAACACCACCAAACATTCAAAAGCCCCATATCCCTATCTTCTTCAAATCCTCTCTCTCTGTTCCTTCCAATCTGCAGCAGCAGCAGCATTCACTCCACCAACAAGCAGAAGAGGAAGAAGAAGAAGAAATCAATAAGCAAATTGTGTCTGTGTATGTGTGTGTGTGTGTGAGAAAATATATATATATAGATTTGAAGAGGCCATAGATCGATTGATTCTACTTTGGGGCAGGCCGGGAGAAAAACTGGCCTCGTCTATGCAGAATTGGGCAGGCTAGCTAGAGTGGGGATGGATTTCTGGATTGAATTGAATTAGATCGGCAGAGAGTCGAGAGGTCTCTCCATTTCCAGATTTTGAAATTGGGAATCACGAAATTAGGGCTTTTTTTGTGCTAAGCTAGGGGAGTAGCTTATTGATGCTCTTTCAATAGGCAGCAAACAGTTTGGGGGATCAACTGACCATTATTTTATAGAGGAATATACAAATATATGTATGTATGTATTTGTATGTATATTTGTGTGTGTAATTGTTTCTGCTGCCCACCAACTGTTCGATTAAAGTGGGGATGAATTATATCTACCTTCCTGTTTGGTGATGAGACTACTGATCAGAATTGGGGAGAGAAGAAATATTTTATAATCAATCGCTCCTGCTTCCTGCTTTATTCCCCTTTTTTGGGTGGTGCTGTTGGATTTGTACTGTTCGTTGTTGCGCCGGAATGTGGGATCTGAATGATTCGCCGGAGGAGAGGATGATGGAGGATGAATCGGAGGAGTTTTCCGACGACAAAGGCAAGCGCGTCGGATCCGCCTCCAATTCCAGCTCTTCCGCCGTGGTTTTCGAGGATGTTTCCGAGGAAGACGACGACGGAGAAAGGACAGCCGCAAGGAAGAGCGGCGGCGGCGCCGCCGTCCCCGGACATGCCTTTGGAGTTTCGGTAGCTACTGATGGCGACACGTGTCCTTCCTTAGCTCCGGTGACGCGGCAGTTTTTTCCGGTGGACGATTCGGAAATGTCCGCCGGACTTCCGAATTTCCCCAGAGCTCACTGGTTCGGAGTCCAATTCCGCCACTCCGATCCCGACGGCGGCGGAACTGGTGGATTGGTGAAGGCGCTGGGCGGCGGCGGCGAAGTGGCGCAGCCGCTTAAAAAGAGCCGGCGTGGACCGAGGTCCCGGAGCTCGCAGTACCGAGGAGTCACGTTTTACCGGCGGACTGGCCGTTGGGAATCGCACATATGGTAAAAATATCTTCCTGCAAAACCCGCTTTTAATTATTAATTAATCGTAATTCCCCTAAAGGCGTGTTTGGTTTCCGTTCCTTAATTTTTTTATGTTTTTATGTTTGTTTTGTTTTCTTCCTCAAACATGCAATTCATCTTCTTCCTTTTTCGCTTCTCGATTCTCGCAGGGACTGCGGAAAGCAAGTCTACTTAGGTCTGTAAATTTCATCTTCTTCCTTTGCGCTTCTCCATACCTTAATCCGATTGATTGCTCAAATCCTGTGTTTATTTATATATATGGATAACATTTCTGTATTTAGGAGGATTCGACACAGCTCACGCCGCCGCACGGTAAGCGGATGAACATTTGCCCTAATATTTTATGGTGAAAAAAAAAAAAAAAAATACTAACCAATTCTTCTCCGAATCAATTCCAGTGCATACGATAGAGCCGCCATTAAATTCCGCGGAGTCGAAGCGGACATAAACTTCAGCCTCGAGGATTACAAAGAAGACATGAAACAGGTAAGTATCAGAAATTGAAGACGCATCGAGCTAGGTTAGGGATTGTTTTTCAAATATCAACTCAAATATTTACAATTAATCATTCAGATGAGGAATCTTACGAAGGAGGAATTCGTGCACGTCCTGCGTCGCCAAAGCACAGGATTCCCGAGGGGAAGTTCCAAGTATAGAGGCGTAACTTTGCACAAATGTGGGCGATGGGAGGCTCGAATGGGCCAATTTTTGGGGAAAAAGTATATATCCAAAAGATATATTTCGAGTATTGATTAATCAAATCCCCAATTTCAGATTTGTTTTTGCATTCTCATCTGATCCGAAACTGTTTTGCTTTTGTGATGGTTGCATAATTGAAACAGGTATGTTTATTTGGGTCTTTTCGATACCGAAATTGAAGCTGCCAGGTGGGTTTTTAAAGGCCACATTGTCTCCATTCTCTTGTGAATAAATTAGGTCGGCTGTCTGTCGAAATTATACTGTTCTAGTACTGATTAGGTCAAGAATTTAAATGCTGAGGCTTCAATGGCTGCTGTATCTATATCGTTCTATCTATCTATATCTTAATTGGGTCTGCTGAATCAGGCTGAGGTTGTTCATTAAATTCGTTTCCTTTGTACAATATAATGTTGTAGGGCTTATGACAAAGCCGCCATCAAATGCAATGGAAAGGAAGCTGTTACCAATTTCGATCCCACCATTTATGACGAAGAACTCAAAGCAGCAGGTGAAATGAAATTAATTAAAACTTCATTACGTCCATAAAATGTGTGCATTTTGGGTAATTGATTTTATTGCAACTTTGGTTTATGGATATGATCTGTAGCAGAGAGTTCCAACAATTCATCATCAGATCACAATCTGGATTTGAGCTTAGGTTCCATCTCTGCATCCAAAACCACTGATCTTCGAGGCCCCCATTCTTCGTCGGCGCAATTCGAATTCGATTGGAGACGATCAATGAGGCCTCCTGAGGTCTGTGTATTTGTTGTTAGTCTTACAACCTTATTTGATGCTCTAAACAAAGAATTATTACAAAACAATGTATATAATTATATTCAGGTGATGAACTTCCAGCAAATGGACATGGCTGCTTCTGATCACAATAATCATCTTCCAAGAAATGGACATGAAAAGGAAACCTTACAGCTCTTAAACCAAACCCAACCACCCCAGATGATAATCTCTCCAGGCTATCATCATCATCATCATCAGGTACCAAATTTCTTCTAATCCATCAATTTCTTGCTGCAATCAATTTCAATCAGCAAAATCCATGGCAGATTCTTCATCTTCCTCCTCATCCCCAGCAGCATCAAACGCCATTAATGACGACAGCAGCAGCTGCAGCATCATCGGGATTCCCGCAAGCACAATTACTCAGCTGGATGCACAAGAACGACATCCACCACCCACCCATCAGACCCTCATGATCCACGCTTCATTCCAGCCGTCCATCTCTTTTCTGCCATTGATCTCCATCCTCCGATCCGCCTGTAAGTCCCCATTTTAATTAATATACATAAGAATAAGTTTTAAATATCCTCATTAGTTCCTGCTTTAATTTACTCAAGAAAAAATTGCTCGAAAACCCTCAATTTGAAAATTTTATTTTAGTAGTATAATTTATTTATTTTTTTCTTGTTTGTGTGAGGGAGGGAGGAAAGATTGAAATAGATAGATAGATAGATCATAGATGAATTGTCACCATCGTCAATGTCCTTTGAATCAGTTCTCTCATGACCAAAAAAGCAAGCAGACAGACGTATGGCTATTATTATGAGAAGGACTTAACCTAACTCTTACTAAAGCTTCAACACAGTACTCTGAACCAAAAATATAAAATAAATAACACACACCCCCCAAAAAGTGAATCCCACCCCACTTCTTTTGTCCCTGTACTTCTTCTTTTGCATGTCCTGTTTTCCTCCTCCTCAGCTCCTGGGACCTCCGCTCCTCTTCAATCCCCACCGTTTATTGCACCCCGGACTCCGACTCCCGGGACTCCCTGTCAATATGTGGCGTGTTTGTGGATATCCAGCATCACAAGCAAGTTTCTTCGCTCGCTCTTCGTTTCTTTAAGTTGATATTCTTCCCTCATTATTATTTTTATTTTTTATTTAATTACATTATTAAATTCGTCGAAAGTTGCTACCATGCCCCAACTATGTGATTAAAGTATTAATAGAAACGGAGATATTTTCACAAGTTGGGGGTGGGTGCATAGTAATAATATTATTATTATTCTTATTAATTAATATTATTATGGGAATATTTGACAATTGCATCATCTGTGACATCACCATCGATTATAGTATAATAATATATATATATTTAAAAATATGTGTACAGTGGCTGTTTCCAGTCCTTTCCTTTTATATAGTAATAATATTATTATTATTATAAGTTGGCTTCGTGATCTCGTATCATTTTTAATGTTTGTTTCGTAGAGTACTTATGTATTATTGTCATTATTTGTATAAAAAATATGTAGCTCTTGTTTGACATAGACACAAGCCCCATCAGCTTTTACGTGCCTTTTTTATTTTATTTTTCAGATAATACTCTGTAGTAATTTAAATTAAAATAAATTTCGATACGATCCTAAAAAGTATTTAATGCCATCTTTTAATTAAATTTTAATCTGATATATATGTCTTTATATTTATAAAGAGAAGTAACAGGAATAAGTCATCCCGACGCACACATTCAAACAAACCCCACTCTTATTATTCTTTTATGATTTCATTTTACTATTTTTACACAGTCAATGATGTGATTAATTAGTTTGTGAATTTATTTTATTTTTTTTTGTTTTTTTTGATCAGTAGCTTATATGTGATGAAATTAATGTAAATAAATATTAATTTGTTATTGTTTTTTTCTACTTTATTATTTTTTTAATAATTTTTTTTTTATAATTTTCATATTTTACTTTTTAAATATCTCATTTTAATAATTATCTCAATTTAAAGTTTTTATTATTATTATTTTCGTCTGTCTCAATTCAAAGTATTTCTTTTTTATTTTAACAAAATTAATCATACACTAATACTAAAATACCCCTAACTTTTACTTAAATTATAAATATATTATTACATTTACAATTATTTTATATATGAAGTCTGAAGATAAAAAAAAAAAATGTCAAAATTTTTTATACATTTCTTAAACTACTACAAATCCCAATAGGCTCCATTGAATTAGAACGGGGAAGGAGTATTACTTTACTGTTTTTGTATCCAACCAAACTTACATAATTTTACTGGATAGACAAATAAATAATACTACATTTGTCCACTCATGAGGTATATATATTTTTATTTGAGTTGTCTAATTACAAATTAATCATTTCAAAATACCTATTTTTTTTCACAAATACTCATACTTTATTATCACTATCATTATTTTCACACAATATTATTTAAATACAATGTTAATTATTTAATGTTAAAGGTAAATGGAGTGGGTGGGCTTAAAAATTACTCCCTTTCTCCAACTTGAATAGTCAGGTTTACCATTTAAGATTATTTCAAATAAGTTTGTTTTGTGAAAAGACTTGAAAAAATATTTTTTACATAAAGTATTTAGAATTGTATAAATAATATAAAAATAATAAATATGTGTATTATATTATTTTTTGAAAAAATATGTGTAATTTTATATTATTCCTTTATTTTATTTTATTTTTTTCTTTAAAAAAACACACTGTTATTTATTGTTTATATAGTTTCCGGCTAATTATTAATTTCCTCTCATTTTTATATTTATTTATTCAAATAGCATCTCATATTTCACTTTTGATTTGACTAAACTCAATAGTATTTTAGAATTTTTTTTTTCTTAATCTACAATTAAATTTTTTAAAGATATTTTCTTTCTGGAATCAATATATTTAATTTATCATTTTGATATGTCCAGAATAAATCTATTTATTTAATTTTTTTAATAATGATTAATTTGCAAGGTATTAAGGAATCGCGAGTTTCCACGTTATAAAAATTATATATATATTATAAATATTCATTCATCCATCTATGATACTAAACATATATTTTCTCTGTCCCGAAATTATATATCTATTTGCTTTTTGCACGTGATTTTAAAAATATTAGTATTATATTGGAATATAGTATGAATAAAGTAGAAATGACTAAAAATAACTTTATTAGTATGTGTGATATAAAGTACTGACATTTGTGTAATATATTGTAAGTTGTAAAGGTATTTGTAATGTTAGGTAGATAGTACAGTTACTAAAAAAAAATGAAATGAATATTTTGTTATAGGACAAACTAAAATGAAAAAATTGATACTTTGTTATGGGAATGAATGAGAGTATATATATATATATATGCATAATATTAATATTTTAAAATTTATGTGTAACATATAACTAAATGAATACATACCGATTACCGAGGGGAGGAGAGGGTAATTTAATTAGATAAATTTATTGTTCATTCGTGGATTTTTCTTAATATTTTTACGATTAAGTTTTTTTTAAAAAAATATTAAATTAAATAATAATTTTTTTATAATATTTTTTTATTTTATATTCAAAATATTAAATATACATATATGTAATCAAATTATCAAATTCAAATTTCTAGTATTAGAAAAATCAAATCCACAAATTCCACATATTTCTATGATAGTGTAGTAGATTAACCCCACCCTCCTGGTACGAAATTAACACACAATAATTAATACTCTCTCCGTCTCATATCTATGTATCAGTTTATTTTTTATACGAAATTTTATAAATATTAGTATTACACCGTCTCATATCTATGTATCAGTTTATTTTTTATACGAAATTTTATAAATATTAGTATTACACCGTATATTGGGATATAGTAAGAATAAAGTAAAAATTACTAAAATAATTTTATTAGTATTGTGTGATATAAATGTAATGACATTTGTGTAATATATTATAAGTTGTAAGGGTATTTGTAATGTTAGATAAATAGTACAGTTACTAAAAAAAATAAAATGAATAATTTGTTATAAGACAGTCAAAAATAAAAAAAATAAATACTTTATTATGAAACCGAAAGAATAGTATTTGTTCAAACTGAAAATGCAACATTTATATTTATAATATATATATATATTTACAGCTAATGCAAGCATATCTATTGAAATACAACATGCATATGGTGGAGAAAAAGAGGTGAACGTTGAGGAGTCCCAGGAGCCGAGGTCCCCATAGTTAGACCGTACCGTGACAGTTACCCGGTAACGGGTATGGTGTGGATTTGGGGAGTGTGGGAATCCCGGGATCTCGCAGGATGAAAGGAATTGAAATAGCTATAGCCATGTCACTCAGGTGACAGGGACGACTCATCAACTGGCCAACATCAGACTTTGGTGAACTTTTCGTTAAAATCAAATTTAAAATTTTAAGTAATGCATTTGGCAATTAGTTGATAACATTTAATTGTTAGTTAATTCAATTAGTTATTAACTGTTAGTTGATTCAATTAGCTGGTTTGACTAGTTGATTCAATTAGCGATTTGTATCAAAGTATTTGGTAAAACAACTGTTTGAAATTAGTTATTTATACATAAAATGACTATTAAGGACATTAATATGTTATTTCTTAAAATATTTAATTTTGTTTATTTTGATTTAAAATTTATGTTATTAATTATTGAAAATTATAAAAATATTATAAAATATTTTTATTTATTTTTATTTTTATTATTTAGATTTGAGAAAATTAATTTTACTAAAAAATAATATTTTTTTATTGAAATTATGTCAAATATAAAATAATAAATATTTCGTATATATATTTTTATTATGTTAATTGTTTTTTTAATATATAAAAATAAATTAATAATTTTTTTTATTTGATTTTGTTTTAAAAATTTATATATTTTACAAATAAAATAATTTATATGTAATAATTAATAATAGTAATTATTTTAAATTTATAAAAATAAAAATATAATTTAATAAATTAAATATATTAAAAATAATTAATAAATACAGCTATAAAAATATTTATATGTATAAAATAAATAATTAAATTTTAAGGGTAAATAAGGAATAACCAAAATTAAAATGAAAAAACTCTTTCAAAACGCTGGGTAGATGAACTTTTTATAAATTAGCTTTTTAACTGGTCAAACAGTTAAAAGCTGTTCAATAAGTTAAAAGTTCTTCAAAAAATTGTTTCCCAAATACGCCCCAAGTGTTTTTTTAACCAAATTTTTCTAAATTTTATTATTTGAATTCTATTTTTTTAAATATATATATTTCTCACAGCATCTAATCAAATACTTCATCCATCCCAAAATAATAATTTCGTTGGGTTGGATACGAGATTTTAGGAATATTGATATTATATTAGTAGTTGATAGAAAGTAAGAATAAATGACTTTTTTGCCATTGTGAGTATATTAGTGTAAAAAGTAGTGATAATTGTGTAATAAGAATGAAAAAATAAGGATAGTTTTACGGTGATATAATTATTTATGGAAATAAGACTATTGCTTTAGAACAGACAAATATGGTAAACAAAACTATTATATTGAGAGAGATGGAGTATTATTTTAACATCAAAGTCAATCGTGAGAAATACAACTATCATAGAACTTGAATGCTCCCTATGCTCCCTTGCCATTTATAATTTTTTAATAGATTAAAAAATAATATTCTGTCTCAAAACTATAGTATTAATTGGGTTGGACACAAGATTTAAGAAATATTAATATTATATTGATAGTTGGTAAAAAATATAGATAAAAGACCTTTTTGTCTTCGTGAGTGTATTAGTGTAAAAAGTAGTGACATTTATGTAATAATAATAAAAAAAATATGGATAGTTTTATGGTGATATGGTTATTCATAGAAATAAGACTATTGTTTTGTAACGGACAAAAATGGTAAACAAGACTATTGTATAGGAACGGAGGAAGTATTATTTTATTAATTAAATTAAGTGTATAAGAAATTTTGATATTTTATTTTTTCTAATTTTATGTATAAAATAATTGTATGTGTAATAATATATTTGTAATGTAAGTAAAAGTTTAGGATATTTTAGTAGTATTCCCTCCGTCGTGCAAATGTGTATTTATTTGATCGGACACGAGTTTTAATAAAAGTGAGTAATAATGGTTACTTTTTCCTTTTATAGTAAAAAAAATACAAAAATGTAATTATTTTTTACTTAAAAAGGTAATGAAAATATTTTTCAATGACAACTCAAAAAGAAAAGTGAACATAGATTTGAATGACGGATGGAGTATTATTGTATGATTTTTTTTTTTTAAAATAGAAAAGAGACACTTTGAAATGATGTGATATTTTAAACATAAAATTTAATATTAGTGTAATATAATAAATAAAAATATGTATTTAATGTGATATTTTTGAAAATTAAAATAGTGAAACATAAAACCAAATTACAAAGTAAACACACCCT